CTTTGGCCTGCCGGACAAACTAAACAGCAGTAAACACCTCTTTAATGATCTTTTCATTTTTTTCATAGTTTATCTGAATAATGAACCAATCATATAGGACTGATATGTTTGAAGCAAAAGTAACCAAAGCAAGTTGTTTTCATAACTCATTTGTTTACTTAGACTTTCTTTCTGGGCTGTTTCCTTCACCCGTTGTCTAGTGTGTGTTTTCTCCTCCCCTGCTATCAAATCCCATCCTGGAGTTACAATCCCCCATTTCAAGGAACCATGAAGGCAACACAACCCCCATCCTCCAGCCACAAAGATAATGGAATTTCACAAAGGTCACACAAGTAAGCACCGGGTGAGCCGAAACCAGACAGAGCCATGCCTGTGCGCCTGACGTAAGTAGGATAACATAAAAACACCTCATTCAGCAGTTCTGGGGAACGGTGCAGTCACGGCTGTACCTTCTGAATTTCTTCATGGGATCACCAGAAAAACATATTTTAGAATATATCCAAAATGTCATAAGTTTTTAGCATTCAGTGACAATCGAAGTCTAAACCATGTTTGTGTCATACATACACTGAGCTTCACTAGACTACATATAGGAGAAAACTAGCCTGGGACTAATGTAAGATGTTCCTGTTTGCCTTAAAGCACGAGGTCAGCTGAAGACCAGATGATTTAACGCTTCCTTTTGTTTTGGAAACTTTTGCAAGTTTCAATGTAGTCGTCATAAATTATCTGTGTGTTTGCAATGCCACTAAACACCATTTGTGTTACCCTTTTCAAAAGCAAAAAAAATTAAAAATAGCAACTGGTGAATGGAAAAAAAAGAAGAAATGCAATTTAAAAGTCAATAAATTTAGAGATTAGGGGCCATTGAGGTCTCATTTTGTTCAAAACAACATTCAAACTGACAATCTCTATTTAAAAACAGAAAGGAAAGTTTGGCATGACACTCCTGCAATTTACTGTAAGCCTTAATGATACAAAATCTGAATCAAGAACTTGTCAGATTCAATTGCCAGTGGCAGACTGAGATAACAAACAAAAGCTTATTAGACTCGGGCAAATTCAGTCTTGTCCTTTATAGGCTCCAGTTTAGATCTTGGTGCAGTTATGAAGAGAGTAAATAATGAAAGTGAGAAAGTAAAGGTGTGATAGCTGTCAGTCAAACTGCCTTTTTTTTTAAAAAATATTTAATGCTTCCTTTTGTTTTGGAAACTTTTGCAAGTTTCAATGTGTGTTTGCAATGCCACTAAACACCATTTGTGTTTCTCTTTTCAAAAATAAAAAAAATAGCAACTGGTCAAAATGAAACAAAAAGAAGAAATGCAATTTAAAAGTCAATAAATTTAGAGATTAGGGGCCACTGAAGTCTCATTTTGTTCAAAGCAGCATTCAAACTGACAATCTCTATTTAAAAACTGAAAGGAAAGTTTGGCATTTTGGCAAACGTGCTTATTTGTTTTGTTGAGTTAAATGAGAAGATTGATACCACTCCTATTTGTTCCTGTGTTCTTATTGTCTGACTCACAGCAGGAAAGCAAGTTCCCAAAATGTTCCTTTAAAGATAGACTCCCTAATACCCAGTGGCTCACTCAAATCCCTGAATTTGCTCCCAGCTCACATGTTTTGAAACTCAGCTGTAAACTGTATTGCATTTCAAAACACTGACAGTCAGCTTGGTGGACATTTTGGAAATATGGGGGCGCTATTGGGCACTATGTGAGGGAGTGTGCCTTTGAATCAACCACTTCCTTATATTTAAATATACTTTTAATCAATGTAGTGAGAAAATATGGAGATTGTCCCTCTCAGTCGATTAGTCATAAACACTCTTGCAATTTACTGTAAGCCTTTAATGATACAAAATCTATCAATCAACTTAACTCCGTCAACATCAAGTACTTTTCAGATTCAATTGCCAGTGGCAGACTGTGCTTATTGAGCTTATTAGACTCGGGCAAGTTCAGTCTTGTCCTTTATAGGCTCCAATTTAGATCTTGGTGCAGTTATGAAGAGAGTAAAGGATTAAATCTGTGTAAAGTGAGAAAGTAAAGGTGTGATAGCTGTCAGTCAAACTGCCTTTTAAAAAGACTGAGGACAAAGAGGGCATGATTCATTTTGGCAGCTTCAATATTGAGGTAAACCGAATAAGTAGTTAAGTCTACTAATGCACTTAATTAAAAATTGCATATGAAGCATCATTCCTTTAACTCACGTACTTTCTAACCACAAAAACAGCCAGAGAGAGCAGCAAGGTGGCACTTCCATCAAGGATCACCCAGTTCAAGACCGTGTGTTAGCAAACGCAGAACCCCTTCCAGCACTCTTGTGAAGACAACACGCAGTTCTCCTTTAAGAGCAGAAGAATAACATCACTAATCTGATTTGGACTTTACTGGCATGTTGGTTTGCAGAGCTTTGGTACAACAGTTCCTTACTATATTTAGATGGCACATTAGAGTTGTCAGTTCTGCATGCCACTGACTGTGCCAAGCTTGTTAGTGTTCTCCTTGATATGATATGAAGATGCCATCACAGACATCAGTGTGAGGACCAGTGTTATTGCAAGCTGAGACAAACAGCTTTTTACACTGTGTTTGAAAAGGCAAGGTGGAAGGGAAAGTGGGTTGAGGCCTGATGCTTATTGTCCAAGTGATTACAGTGTTTATTGAGACAATAGCTGTATTTGAATAAAGTTTGTCCTCCCACACCTTTTGAAAAACTGTTTTTGAGCTCATTCAGTAGTTTGTAGTGCTGTTGCATTGGATTGTGTTCCATTGTGTTGTTGTTATAGTATTTTGTCCACCTTTCTACTGACCACCATGTGTAGCTATAAATAATTAATTTCCCATGTACAATTTGATTTGTGCAATGACACAAAGCAAATAAAATATAACGTTTTATTAAAATTAGGCTACAATGCCACAAGAAAGACATGGCCAAAACGCCTACATGGGAAGAATGTAGTAGCATATAGTATAACTACAAGTCTGCATGAAGAGGAGCAATGTGGGTCAAAGTGCTATATGGTACAACTTATGCAACTGGTTGCATAGCTAATCAAATCCAACAATTTCCAGAAAACAGAGTTCTGTGGAAAATTCCAAGATCGGGTATGTTCTCAATTAAGGCCCTCTACTCCACCATGAAATTCAAGAACCACCTCCAGGATGACTAGGCACTTTTTCAGTGCAGCCTGCCCCTGAGTTATGTATATATCAATGAAATATTCATTCATGTCCAACTTTTTAGCAAAACATACCTGACTTCTTTAAATCTATCTGTGCTTGTTGATAATCCTCATAGATTATATGTATCCTGCAGTCACATTCATGCTGAGTTCAATCAGGATAAAAGGAAATATTTTAAATGAATGGACAGCATTGGATTGAACCTCTCAAACTCTTTGTAAACAAGCGTGCATTTGTCTTCTCCTTTATTTCTTCTGAAGCTATCAGGAGAGAAAAACACTTTCCTGATTGGGTGCCTGGAAGAAACACAAACAAACACACAGTAAACTAACAAACTGCAATCTTTTGTCCCAACAGGGACTTCCTGGGTGATGCTCCTTTAGCTGGTTGTTAGTACAGCTTCGGTCTCCGGGTTCACCTATTGCGTCACTGCGAAAGACACTTGCGTAATATCCACCGCAGCTTTGTTGTCACAGCTTACAGTTACAAACACAAAGATGCAAGATTTCAACTGCCTTTGACCGGTTTTACTATCACATTAAATGATCGTAGAAAGAGGTTCACGTTTGGCAACTCAAAGTAAGGTACAAACTTAGAACTTGATGTATACTTTTGGACACAACTTACATTTTGGGGGGAGATTTTCGTAAGTCATGACTTTACGTGGAGATGAAACTCCTTGCAAACTGTGTTTCACAATACATACATTTATATGCACAGTGTAACAGTTATATAACAGATCAATTCAGAAAGAATAGTTGCCAATTATAATGTTGGCCAACAATTAATTTTGTTTTTACGAAGTTCCAGAGGTCATTTTCAATTTCAGCAACCCACAACTGTGATTTTTTTTATTGTGACATATTCCTAAAATAGGGTGTCATATCTTCCAGATATAGGCATTAGCATTAGAGAACTGACATTAGCTTGCATTTACAGCACTGCTTTATAAAGGTGATTTGTTAAGTGCCCAATTTTAACCTGCTTGCCTCGGAAAGTGAACCAGGTGCAGACCAGCACTCTCCATTTAGTTATGACATTAGTCTCACGAGATCCTCTCAATTACTTAACACATGCAGGCTGCTCAAACCCGGCCCGTCTCTACAGCGTACAAGACAGGGCCACTGTAGGGATGCTCGATATTGGCTTTTCTGCCGATATCCGATAGTGTCCAACTCTCAATTTCCAATACCG